CCAGCAGTACTACGTCACACAAACCTGTACTATGTTTTTTTTTTTCCTGGGGTACATGAAATAAAATTTGCGATGCCCACATGCAATTATCTGGCCGTTTTCCTTGGAACATGTTCTCGAACCACTCATTTCTCATGTGGAGTTCGATGCCCTTTCTCATGCTCAAAATTAATTCTTTTTCATAGAAAATATTATCGTATTCGGAGACAAATTGCTCATCCATTTCAAAAGTATCTCAACCATTCAAATAATACCATGTGTCGTCACAAAAATATTCTTGCCACTTCATCAATTCCTCAGGTCGGTTTCAAACTCCTACTTCCTTATGCTGACTCTTCAGCGCCCATCGACAATTTTTCTATTCTTGTCGACAAATTTATTTCACAATGATTCTATTTTACTATGTAACCGCTGGGAATTAAATTCTATATGTTTTGTGCCGCTACTATTGTTATTTTTGTATCCACTACGTTTCGTTATGCTTAATAATATCGTGGTTTTTATACAGCCTGTATCTTTGACTTCAGCTCATTCAAGTCATCATTGTCCTCCCAGTATTTTTTCTGATCGAATTTTTTCTCCATTTTGCGCAACTTTCTTTTTTTATTAATTCTTTCCTCCCTGTCGTCTCCGTTTTCTCTTCTGTATGCCGCCCTTAGTTCTTGTTCAATCTCCGCTGAAGCCTCCTCCCCTCTACGCTTCTTTACCTCTTCTACTAATTTCCCAAACAGCATACGCCCCTYGTAGCTCCAGCCTTCTTTGTTACCTATCCTACTATCAGTGAATCGCTTTCTGGTTTTCTTTCCACTCCCTGAATTATTCCACGATTTGTAGTCATTGTACAAAAACAGCAATGYGAAGGCTTCGTCTGTGGCGGTAAAAATGGAGCTCAGTTTATCCTTGTGTCGCCTTCGCTTGAATTCCGTTTGTTTAGGGGACACCGCCCCTAAAATCCTTGTAACAAAGTACTTGAATTCCGGACTATTTTCTCTTCTATAGTTACTTCTCAGGACGTAYGTCTCTCCTTCATCTCCTTCTGAAATGAAGCAGTTGCCGGCGAACGTATCAGGTACTTCCTGGTTTTTTTTGTCTTCTGTTTTTAACAATCATTGATCGTTGATCGTGAGTCACAAAAACTTCAATTTGTGTCTGGTAACATGCGTGCACTTGTATTTGTTTTGCTTACCCTTGTAATTCTTCCTTGCCAATGTCTGCGCGTTGTGTCTGCAAGCAGTGATAGCACCRTTGATAGTTCCTCCCCACCTTGTCGCACTGACGTCCAAGCTATCTGGAACTGGGTCCGTACCGAACGTAGTTTTGAGGTTGACCTCTATGATGGCCTCTAGAACTKCATCTTCAACGGGAAACTTTGTGTACTTGAAAAATCTTTCCTTGACGTATGTAACCAGATTATTCTTCATGACCGTCTCATACTGGTTTTTCCATTTTTGTATTTGTCCAATCACTGCGTCTTCTTGATGTCTATCTTTGTTGTTTCTCTCCTCAATCATGCTGTGCTGTGTTTTAGTCAATCTGATAGATATATTAGCTCCTAATGCTTGAATGGCTGCATAGATTTCATTTCGATTAGCTTTATTGTATTGTACTGAATGTTACCAATGGAACTAGATGTTTATCTCCCGCGATTCAACAACTTACCTACTTACTATGTGTGATAATGTGATTTTTTTAGTATTTTGTTTGTTTCTTTCTTAAGTTTATGCCGTTGTATTTTTACTGTGAAGTTGATTTTGTTTTATGATTTTGCGCCCTGTAAATCCTTGGCGCTAGGTTGTTACCGGCCACATATTTTCCCCTGGTCTGATCTGAATTTCATGTTTGGGTCGGAAATTTTCTGGCGCGTTTACTGTAAGATTTCTCACCGCTTGGTTCACCCAGTACGTCGTTACTGGAATATCAGGTTTTGGTTGGAAATATTCTGGCGCGGCTACTGTAAAATTTCTCAGTGTTTGGTACACCCCATACGTCGTTACTGGTTTAATGTAGTACGCACGTAATCTCGCGGTCAGGTGGAAGTTCCCTGTCCACAAATTTTTTTTCTCTAATACGTACCAGTTCCCACCAGGTTTATCCAACTCATATATGTACTATTGATATCAATGAATTGTAAGTACATCGCAATAGTTTAAACCGTTTCTCCCGACACTTTTTTTCTTATTCCTTTCGGAAAATTCAAATTTGAATTATTTWCTTATTTGAATTTATGGTTCGAACACCAACTCAAAAACCTACGCTAGCACAAGGAAGATCCTTATTTCGGTTCTTTTCTGTTTCTTTCATATTATGTCGTTCGTGTAACAGAAAACCATGGTCACACTTTGTTATTGTGTCACTGCGTGTCACCCTGCACCTTCTCCAAATCATGGGCTACATAAACCGGGAACGGCGTTCCCGGTTTTGTCAGTTTACTCCCAAATCGCAACGGACGGAAAAAWCTCAATACAATTTTATTCTTACCAACGGTGTCGTTTGATGATTACMAACACAGATTTCTTCTCCAAATGCACACTCCATAAAAAGGCTCTCTCGTTTTTTATGTTTTTGGATTACAAATCATCTTGTTTCAGTCTCCACCGGATTTAATTAAAAGTCCTGTCCCACCATGAGTAACAATCCGAATCCTTCTCAAGCTCAACTGTCCATACAAACAACCGACCCCATACTTCTTGAATTGCTTAACAAGTCAGGCGTTCATTGGAAAGAAAAGCAAAAGGCTCTTCAGGCAGCTGTCAAAGAAGCTTTGTCAAATGAAGACTACTACGACGACCATTTTGGCAAAGCGGTAAGCTAACAAGTCATAACACCGTTCACTGAACTCACAACTCGTGTTTACATCGCCAGTAACGTAGTCATGACTAGTACTAATATCAAACGGGCTACCGCCAGACAGCCCGGTGATATTCCCAAGACCATTCATCCATCTGTGAATATGTTTCTTTGCAATGATAAGAAAGGGAGTGGAACTGAATTTGTCATCATTCCCCGGGGCCACTTCAAGAAGCGTATGGGTCGTTACGACTTTGCGTCAAGGTGGAGTAATTTGAACACTTTATTGGCAAATAAGAATTTGTACCTTAAGCCGTCACCATCTGACGGAGCCAAGGCTGGTGACTCTGCTTCTAAACAGGGGTTTGTAACGCCCGAGACCATGTTGAAGTATTTGTTGTTTGTTAGGGATGTTATGGAATGGTACTTCTTGTTTGTAGAGTTCCCCCCTTCACCCAACCCTGATGGCAGGTTCAACCGCGATACCGTTGATTGTGCCATCTTTGAAGCAAGAGTGAACAATTACGTCAAGAAAATGGACAAAAACATTGTCCTTCATTTTGAGGGACATGGCCCTTAGAGACGGTACTTCCTCTGCATCTACTCTCGATAAAGTACGCGAGCTCATGAACAGGAATYGCTGKAGCACCATGACGAAGGTGATCGGTGGTTATGCTCCACAATTAAAGCTGCTGTCCGTGGTTGCAGACAGCAAGAAGTACATTTCCTCTGAGCAGTTTCCTCCTAACAGCAAATCCGAGACCAATAACCCTGTTGCTGGGTGGTTGCGCAAGATGTGGCAAGACTTCCATTCGTCTTGTGTCATTATGGCGTTTTCTACACTTTCTTGTTTGCATTGCCATCCMACCGTCTTCCAGCGCAATTTTTTCTACAACAATTTCCTATCCAGTCTTCACGAAAATTGCTTTGTTGTAGCGTCAAAGGTTTCTTCTGTTACAGGGAACAGAGTCATTTGTACCATTGGGACGACAGGCGCAGATGAGGGTAGGATTCATTTACCATTCAACTCTGACGTCTTGTTCATGATATCCCAGCACAGCAAAAAGATCAAGCGGAATTACGCAATTCATGTGGAACTCAATGATGGTATCGCTCCCAATTCTATCAGTAAGGTTATTCTTTCCACCTTGGAAAGCACAGGCACTTTCACCGTTTCTCCACCCACTTCGTTTGCCGACGTTACAACGCTGCTTAACCAATGGGTTTTGAAATGCATCGAGGTAACACCAACCCACTCAATGTAGGAAATATCGGCTTGACCACATCGGGGTTGGATTGGGATTTTATCTTCAAGGATTGCAATACAGAGAAGGAGCAGCTGGAAATGTTTGTCGATGATGTGTTTGGCTTTGTTCAAAAGGAGGATTACAAAGTGGTTATGAGCAAAATCGCAAAATTTGGCCGTGAAACCAAGCACGACATTGACAAGTTCAAAACTCCCCACTGTTTGCTTGTGTCATTTGGTCATACSGGTAACCAGTTTAATTTCACAGCGTACAATGAAGACCCAACCATTGTCATCAAGCAATACACCCACACCGTAACTTGGGATCCAGCATATAACATCACTCTGCCATCTCTTCTCTTGCGAAAACATCTGTCTGTATCGTTTCCAACRATTATATGCCTTGGGAACATATTCTCGGAGGGTTTCTATGACACGCTCAATGGCCTTTTGTGATTTACATATCACTGTCTGAATCGTTGCTAACGATGCTTACTGAGTCAGAGAATATTCTAAAAAAATTCCAGCAGAAAGTTG